ATCCAACATCTGCAGCATCCAACATCTGCAGCATCCAACATCTGCAGGGTTCTTGTAGGAGCGTTCATGTAAATAATGTCACGTGATCAATTGAGGGAAGGAAAGTCACAGATACAAGGCATTTTCTAGTATTCAGGGTTAGACAGGATCTGTTTCTGAAAAAGAAACCCAGTTTAACTTTCAGTTTCTTTACCAAGTTTTCCACATGGAGCTTAAAAGAGAGATGTGAGTCGACCAAGATACCCAAATATTTATAGGAATCAACAAACTCAATGGGGACACCATTTGAGGATAAAATCGGAGGAAGAACTGCTGGGACCAACTTCCTATTTGAAAAAAGCATCCCTTTGGTTTTGTCGGCATTTAGGACAAGTTTGAGGCGGAACAAATCAGTCTGGATGATGTTGAATGCAGATTTCAAAAGCTGGAAAGCCTTAGCAACTGTTTTAGCTCGACAATAAACAACTGTGTCATCAGCATAGAAATGTATGGATGCATCAAGGCTGCTCTGACCTATTTTAATATTCAGCATGCAAAAGTATACAGAAAGCACCGCTGCACATGAGTAAATAAATTAATAAGAAACAATGTAAAGTGTTCCCAGTGAGAGTTGGACTCTGCCAAAGTTGCCCTTTGTCACCGATTCTGTTCGTAACTTTTATGGACAGAATTTCTAGGCGCAGCCGAGGTGTTGAGGGGATCTGTTTTGGTGATCTGCCTGCAGAAGAATCATGTTGCTTCACAAACTCCAGATGAGTGCTGCCTCCTGGATCTAGCCTGAAAAACAACGATTCATCTAACAGGTCTCTGCGAGACCGTTAAAGCTTAGTGAAGTTTTAAGAACTGTGCCCTGATATTCAAAAATTGAATTAAATGTTCATTTGAACCTGTTTGAGACGAGTGAAAATCATGTTTTGCTTCTTTAAAAATGAACGGTATTTGTATATTTGGTAAGGCCATGATGAACGCACACAAAAATAAGGCTTATAAAACATTTATTAAAATAAAATGTGTTTTTGTTTTTTTAAGTAGTGTTTAGAAAGATGGATTCAGCTGTAAGCTCCACCATCACATCATTGCCTCACAGCCCAGATAAGAAACTCAAAGCTGCATAGTTTCCACGACCAGAGGACCTGAGTCTGCTCTAATGAAACCACCTGGCTCACTACTCAGAGCCAGACGTGCTCTTTTCTCTGCCAGGCAGAAAAACAAGTATAATTATTAACTCCTTCTCTCCTGGTCCAATGCTTTTTTTCCCCAACATCTGCTCAAGTTAGTTAATGAATATTACAGGTGAGGGCTGGAAGAGATCGTCAGATTATTTTGTGGAGGAATTGAAGAACCACTGGTTCACAAAGCAGCAGAGTTTTTCCTCACAAAGCTTTCAAAACTAAAATGATTAAATCGTTAACACTAGTTCAGTGTGATGCACTGTCATAAATCCTTTA